CTTTCTTCCTTTTTCTTTCAATTTTCATCTCCAAAATCTTCATTTTTTCTTTTTCTTTTCTTTGTTTTATGATGAGTTCTTCTTTCGTTTTTTTCTCCATTTCGAGTTCTCGACGAGGAGAACCTCTGTTCGTTGTTCTCTGAATATCAAACGGATTTTTTATGACTTTGAAGGCAGAGAGTGAACTCAACTCATATTGTTTAAAATTTTTTTCCTCAGAGTAAGTCGTTTCGGGGTATTCTCTAATCTCTTCTTCTGTGATCGATTGTGAAGAATCGTCAACCCTTTCTTCGTCTTTTTTATCGTCTAAAGCGTTGTTAGATTTATCATGATTTGATTCTAAAGAGTCGTTTAATACTCTTCTTTCTGGTTTATATATACTAAAGTAATCAACGAAAGGATGGGTTATAGCTTTTTGAGGGTAGTTCTCTTGAAACTCTCTGACGATGGAATTGTCTTTGTTCGTCATTTCTGTATTTTCGAGATTTTGTCTTTTGATGAGTTTGCGATTCGAACCTTCCCATTTCTATTTTGGTTTTCGTCTTCTTCTTTTTTCTTTCTTCTTATATGTTTTTTCGTTCTGAAAATTACAATCTCATTTATCATTCCACTGATTATATTGTTCTACGTTATTCGTAGATTCAATAATACAGAATAAATGAGATGAGTGGCAGAATGAAGACGAGATTAGGAAACGGCTTGTTCAAGATATAGCTTGCCGTGATTGTTCCTCGATATATTTTCCATACAAGTTGCTTGTTCACAAATTTTGACACCCCGAAAATTTTCGTTATTTTTTGTAAAGACAAAACAATTTTTTAATCGAAAAAATCTATTTATGGAAGGGGTTTTGTTTTCTAAAACAAAAATTGATCCAATTTTGTTTTTTATCAATAAAAAAATAATTTTAATGGCACTTGATTTGGAAAATTTCTTTATATTTTACACTAAAATGAATTTATGTGCCGTTAATTTTTTTATTTGAATTGAATGTTGATTTGAGAAAGTCAATTATTTTTATTTTTACACTCATTTCCCGATTATTCCCACTTCATTCCAATAAGTTGTTTTTATAACACACAAAAAAACTATTTTAAAAAAAAGTGAAAGTTATTTTAAGATACAGTGCTCATTGGTTTCAAATTGATAATATTTTTTAATAAATCGATTATGTTTTTATATTTATCGACAGTATTTTTTATGGTTTATATTGTATTTAATGAATTATATTACTATTAATGAAATAGATTGTGTTTTTTATAAATTATATTACTTTTAATGAAATAGACTGTGTTTTTTATAAACTATATAGCATTTAATGAAAGTGATTATATTTGTTATAAATTATATGGCATTTTTCTAATTTATACAACATTTTTAGTAAAATCAATAGTTTTTTTCTAAAATATATAGGATTTTTGATAACTTATATAACTTTTGTTTGAAAATATTTTGCTTTTTTTACAAATTATTGGATATTCCCGAATATTAGGAATAAAAATACACATAATAAGCAAGTTATTATTTGTTAAAAATACTTAATATGTAACTATATTTATACTATTATATAACTAAATTTTAATCTATTCTTATTTAGAACCTCTTCACAATGAGGATATTTTTTTTACATAATTATGTATATTTAAATAACGGGCAAAAAATGATATCATGCAATTGGATTATATCGACAGAAGAGATCCAGGAGCAAGAAACGACTATCATGAAAATGCACCATTATCCATGCAAGGGCAACCTGTACAACCTGTAATGTTGCCCCATCAAGATATCCCACCTCTTTAAAAAAGATCACGGGGTCGGCCCCGAAAATTGGATTCAAAAAAGAAGAAAACAAATACACGACCTTATTCTCGTGTTACAATTGATCAAAGAGATTCTTTGGTTGAACTATGGAGTAAAAATGGTGATAACATGAATGCTTCACGATATTCAGAAATAATTGGGATTAAAAAAATAAACATTGAAAAGTATCTTTCAATGTTAAGAAAAGGGATATCAATATATCCAAAAAATCATTATAGAAGACAAAGCCGTACTTTACCTTTTCAAAAATTGGTAGAAAAAGCTATTAAAGAAGACACAACAACAAAAACAACTTCAATTAGAAAAATGATAGCACAAGAAGAAAAATTACGCGAAGAAGAAGATGTTGATGAAATAATTTTGGATATTCCAAAAATATCCAAGGTTGCTGTTACTAAAGAGGACATTGATCTTTATGCACCTTCGATATCATCAATTGGAAATTTCATGACTGGTAAAACAGCAACAGGTGAAGAGAGAGAAGTCCCTATTTTTTCTTTCAAAAGAACAAAGACAAGAGGGCCAACAAGCAACACGCCAGATAATAAAGAAAAAAGAATTGCAGCAGTAAACGCTCTAAGGGGTTATATAACAGGTGGAGCACGTTGGGTTTGTATAGATGAAACCAGTTGGACTGTAGCATCAACTCCTGCATATGGCTGGTCAGTTAGAGGGAAGGAAGCCTTCATCACAAAATCAAAAGGTGGTCTTCGCCTCACCTCCATATGCGCAGTTGATTGTGACGGACTCTCTTATTGCAATGTGGTTTGTGGAACAAACACATTAAATTCGTTCGAAGACTACTTCCGGTACCTAATTCATGAGTATGATATAAAACAAAGACAATGCGTTTTTTGGGTGGATAATTGTGATATTCACAACACTATGAGAAGAATGCTAGATAATACAAACCACACTGTCGTATTTAATGCTGCGTACTCACCAGCACTAAACCCAATTGAAAATATATTTGGGATCTGGAAAAGCAGGGTTGAAAAAAATGTGAGAACTTGGAATGGCATCGAAAATTTTTTTGAAAAAATCAGAGATGGTTTTTTAACTATTAAACCAGAAGAGTGCCAAAGTTGTTTTGAAAATGTTAGGGAAATTGTGTGGCCTCGAGTGTATAACCAAGAAAATATTTAATCAAATGTTTTTAAACAATGTATGGTTAATATAGTTCATTTATTAGTCTATTATAATGATATATATAATATAATATATATAATTATAAATTCAATAATAGAATATTTGTAATAATTATTGATAAAGTTATATTATAATTAATTATTTTTATCATGTATCATAATTGTAAAAATTTGTATTAAAATAAACAATAAGAATAGATTAAAATTTAGTTATATAATAGTATAAATATAGTTACATATTAAGTATTTTTAACAAATAATAACTTGCTTATTATGTGTATTTTTATTCCTAATATTCGGGAATATCCAATAATTTGTAAAAAAAGCAAAATATTTTCAAACAAAAGTTATATAAGTTATCAAAAATCCTATATATTTTAGAAAAAAACTATTGATTTTACTAAAAATGTTGTATAAATTAGAAAAATGCCATATAATTTATAACAAATATAATCACTTTCATTAAATGCTATATAATTTATAAAAAACACAGTCTATTTCATTAAAAGTAATATAATTTATAAAAAACACAATCTATTTCATTAATAGTAATATAATTCATTAAATACAATATAAACCATAAAAAATACTGTCGATAAATATAAAAACATAATCGATTTATTAAAAAATATTATCAATTTGAAACCAATGAGCACTGTATTTGATTTAAATAGTCCATCATTTTTTAATTATATTAACAATTATATATTGTAGTAATGTGAAAATTTAACACTAATTTATATTTTGCCATAATGACCTGTAACTATTATATATATAATTTTGATAATTATAAATTGCTATTATTTATTTATTAACTATTATAATAGTTAATACTTTTTATGATAGTTTTTTAATAAAAATATAATCACATAATTAAATTAATAAGCTTAATATAAATTATAATAAAGTCATTGTTTAATAAATATACTATATGATAGTTAAAATATATTACTAAATGCAAAATGAATTAGTTGATTACATGGGATCCAGCATCAGGTTTCCACTTTTCACAAATGATTTTTTCTGTGAATTCTGTCTTTCCAACAACTTCGAGTTGTCCGTGGTTAGGTGCAAGTTTTGCAAGAGCTTCATTATAGAATTGGCAAGCTCTTACCATAATCATTTTCTTGACAGCTGGGCCTTTCCAGTGCATGAAAATAAGTCTGACTTGATCAGGAATACCTTGGAGTTCAAGACGAATTGCTAACAAAACAAAAGAGACTTGGTCATCCTTTAATTCGTTTTTTAAAGTCGCAATTCCATTTCCCATCTTTCTAAAGACCAAAGCACCTTTGTTATAGTCCATAATGACATATTGTCCATGTGGGCAATCCAAAGTATTCATTCTTTTGATCGCGTCTTGAAGATTTGTAGCCATTGAATTTCTCTGTTCTTCTTCCTTTTTATTCTTCTTTTTTTCATATAAAAACAATTCGATTTTCTATGACCGAAAATTTTAAAAATTTGATAATTCGAAGCAAATTGACTGTTTTTTCACATCATCATTATTTTTATTATTTATATACATTTGTTTATAGTTAGAATATAATATTTTTTATTTTTAGTTTACACTATGAAAAACGTCCATCAAGAAAACGTGAAAATAAAATAAAGTTGATCTCGATATGTAAACTGTCTGTATTCATTTTTTAGTTCCATTAATTACTAGAACTAAAAACGATCTACAATATTATTTTGCTAATTATGTCCAAACATATCGGGACTTTTTAAAATATCAAATGGGTCAAATATTATTTTAAGTCACTTTGACGTTTGCTTTTCTGTAATTTTCCAGGAGATTCCCAAAACTTAAATACCCACAAAAAAATTACCAATCAAATTTATCGAATTTTTTTAAACAAATTTTTTACTACAAAAGTCTGTTATTATTAATTTGTATAATTATAGTAGGAGGAAATATGGAAATGCTCGAAAAAGGAGGATGCTCATAACTATTGGTTAATTTCAATTGAAAAACAATAAAATTACTATTAATTTTAATATATCAAAAAATAAATAAAATGAAAAAACTGAACAAATTTATATTAATTATTTATTATTAATAATATTAAATAAATTTATATTAAGATTAGCATCCGCCTTTTTCTCAGCATCCGACTTTTTATCTTGACTGTAATTATAGTTTATATTTACTTAATTTTAATTGTTATATATTTTATAGAAAACACAAAAATTTTTTAAAAGAAAAATAAAATTAATAACTTATTTATTATTTATATACTACTTATATTTAATGTTTTGATTATTAACCATTAATGATTAAACTTCAAGAAAATTTAAAAAAAAACATAACTAAATAGTTAGTTTTAGAAATTATCAAATAAACAATAAAAAGTTTATTAATGCATAGTTTGAATGTTTTATATAGTATTTATACATACAAATACATGAAAAACCCAATGCAAAGTTTTTACCAAACAACATCTTTTTGTTTGTTTTAAAACTTTATGTGATAGTAATAAATAGTAACAAATTATTATATTTTAATATAGACAAAAGTAAGGTTATTACATTTGACATTTTTTTCGATTTACTCAAAAAAACTTTGAATTAGTTTCACACTTTTGTTTTTACTGAACTAATAATTATTAATAAAACATAGTTTTGTTTTGGTTTAGTTTTAAACCATTTCAAGTCGTTTTTTTGACTTAACAATTTAAACCATATTTAACAATTCCATTTATTGTTATAGATAAATTATAAATTTACCATTTTTTATTATTGTCGGATTATTTCCATTTAATTGAAGTAATAATAAAAGATACCTATAAAGTACAAGATGAGTTTTTTTGAGACATTTTTCCTCAAAATATCACAAAACTATTACAAAAGAATCAAAAACTATTTTCCTACAGAAAAGCTGTTTAAATGGCCTTTCTAGATACTTGAAGTAAATTAGACTAGTAAGGAAATGAAAGTTTTCATTGCAAGATTCTCAAAAAGTAGACAGAACTGTGAATTTGACTAATTTGTGGGATGGAAACACTGACCGCCAGAGTTAAGGGATATACTGTTAGGCGGATTTATTACGCACGGTCATGTATTCGGCGGTCGAAAATAGTGAATGAAATTTTCGACACAGAGAACAGCTTTGTCGATCAACTCGGTAAAATTATCGCATATTTCAAACTTCCTATCGAACAATCCAATGGGTCGATTCTCCCCAAAGTTGTCGCACATTCTCTATTCCATGACATAGATAATTTAATGACTGCGGCATGTCGCAATGCAAACATTTTTCAAAAGGCTGTCATTGATTGGAAATATGACTCTTGCTTTGGGAAGGTGATGTTAAGTTGTGTTTGTTATATTATTATATTATTATTATATTATTATATTTATATTATAATATTATAACTATATAATTACTATTCTATTACTATTATTCAATCATTCATAAATATAATATCTATATAATTAAATATATTAATAATATATGGTATAATCAATAGATGCAAAACATGTTACCGCTCACGGAATACACACTCCGTTGGGACGTGATGAAAAAGGAGTTACAAAATTCATATAAAAACAAAGTGTTTCGAGCGTTTGCTGGTGTTCAATGTTCACCTAAAACGACAAATGGACTTTCTTTAGAAGACTTATTAATCACGTTTGTGTAGTATATTCTTCATTAACTTCGTTATGAAGGTTTTAATGACAATTAGACCAGTCCAACGTATAATGAGATATCAAACGTTATTAAACGAGTTATTGAAAAACACGCCAATCAAACATCCGGACTACTTGTCCCTTGTGAAAGCACATCAACAATTTTATGATTTGGTGATATCAACTAACACTCGAGCAAAGCAACACGACTTACTGATTCAAAGTGCTTCAATCATTTTTGGGATGGAGAATTTAATTCAGCCGTGGAGGTATTGCTTGTATTACACAGAATGCTATGTCAACGGACTCGAGGTCAGGTGCGAGTGTTTCATCTTTAACGACATGATCGCTTGGATGGACTCATTTGTACCGATTCGCGATAAAAGTAAGTACAACTACTACTTCAACTTTAGTCCGAAGAATATCGTGCTGATTAAGGATATCACCAAACACTTTAACTCTCTCAGGTTCCCTCATTGTCATGATGTCATCACTAAAGAGAAGCATCTCATGTTCTTTTTCTCGTCTAATGAAGTCTTCGACGCATGGGTCAATATCCTCAAGATTACGCTCGAGAAGTAGCAACTCCTTTCTATGTACCCGCTTCGCTGGAAGTTCACATCCTTTCGCGAACCATTCAAATTTTTATTCATTGTGTTATTTCTTGTTGTTGAATATAGTACTTTTATTTAAAATACAATCTATTACTTTTTGAAATAGAACACACAAATAGCATCTATTCTATTAATAGAATAGATGCTATTTGGTATGAGGAAAAGTATAACTTCAATTCCAAAGTATATTAAAGGCTATGGAAGACATTGATTTATTGATAGAAAGGTTTGAAAAGGTGTCGAGAAAGTGTGAAGAGAAGATGGGAGAGATCACGATGAGTAAAGACTATGAGCCTAAGAAAGAGCCATCGAGTATGGTAGTCTTGTGTTTCTTATCCATCAAAATAGTGATATTTATAGTCGTCCATATCTTATTGTTGTTTGTTGGCGCTATTGTCTTCAAACATCTCTCTAAATGAATTATATGTTCTCTTCCGTTATAACAACTCAAACGAATGAATGAAAGTGATAATTACATAACAAGTGCTTCGATCCACTCCTTCTGATTCTCAAAGAGTATAGTCATGCTCTGTTTCTCCTTTTTAATAACAACACACTCTCTCTCGGTCTTGGTATCTATCCCTATTTGTGCTCCTTTTAACTGAATGACCACCATCGTCTGTCCTTCTCCCGCTGATTTGAAGATCATTAAACAATTCTTCTTCAATACTACCCAACGGCGATTCCATTTCTTCCCTTCCAGAATATCAGCATCGCCTTGTTTGATAATGTCTTTCAAGGTTAACACAACACTCTTGTCATCTATTGTCCCTTCGACTAATTTACTCACAGGAACTGCATTAAACCCCGTCTGAGAATTCATCTCCTTTTGAACATCTCGAAGGTGGTCCGCCTCTTTCTTCGCTTCAGAAAGTTTCTTCTCGACTTTGAGATGCGCGTTCTTGAAAATAACGTCGTAATTGGATATCATCACTATGACCGTTCGCGTCATCTTCTCAACATCAAGACCAACAAAATCAATCGAGGGATACACATTCGGACTCATCACCTTCGAGAGATTCTCCGGGTTCATCTTATTCACGTCACTCTTCTTAGAAATTTCAGACATCAGTCCAAATAATTTGTCCATCAAACACATTGTATTCAAATCAAAGGAATCTACAATACTAGTAATACCACTAATGTCCTTCGGATCATGTGTTTGTAATGACTGGGGCAGTTTGTTCGGTACCGAGTTGATGAACTTCTTCAATAAATTGCCAACTAAGTGTGTAGTACACTTCTTGACATCAAGAGACTCACCTCTATCGACTTTCCTGATGATATCTTCGATCTCTCTAACGGACGCAGAGACTCTAAAGATCCCTTCAGTCTTGGGTGCATCAATAAAGAGTCGATCAAACATCGCGTGAACAAATTGTGGGAGCAAGAAAGACTCTTCGTCTCTTGCCATAGTCGATTTACCCAACTCCGCGCCAAACACTTTAGTCTGTGACGCATAAAAAGTGATTGTCGTGAGATGCTTCACAAATTTGTCTGCAGAAAGGCTTTCTTTGAACGTGAACTCCGTCTCATATTCACTCGTAATAATAGACACCACTCTTCTATTCTTCAATTTGAACGTCTCGACACTGTCGAGCCCAAACGCCTCTTCAAAGTAGTATTGATTTCTCTCCAATCGAGTGAAAATAAGTAAATCGGAGAATATAAAAAGTGTCCCCTGTGTCTTGTTTAACACACATTGTTGTCTGTCAAGATATCTTCTCCTTGGACTGAACAAAACTGCTTGTTCCAAGAGATCTGATATCTTCGACAACTGGAGTTGGACGTCATTCTCCTTTTCTGCTTGGTCTGTGGCTGTAGTTAACATTCCCATCACAAAAAGGATCTTTTCAGTCTTTTCAAGGTGTTCGGGAAAGTGCTTTAAAATGTCAGAGAAGCATTGTTTGAGTTGTAACAATTGAATGAATGGTAAATTGATCAAGTCCTCCAATTTGGGAAGTAACGGGTTTGCATTTCCAATCGCTTCGACGACCTCGTGGAACGTTTTGATCTTCATTGAAGTGTTCAAGCAATTCATCGAATCCTTATAGATCGCACATCGTCTCATAAAGACTTGATAGAACTCCCCAAGATGTAAATAGAACACGTCAATAAAAGTCTCTGCATTCGCCGTGTTAAGTTTGTTCAGTAACGTCGTGTGTAACACGTGCATCGTTTCTATATCAGAGAATATCAAATCGACGTCTTTGATACTCAAGCCACTCGTCGCGAGGGTTGGACTACACAAAATCGGCTTCGCGTATTTCGAAATGCAAAGACCTAAATTCTCAACAATCATCTTCTCCGACTTAAAGATGTTTGCAAAGACAGGGTAGTCGTCCATCCACAGGGGGAAGTCATCGATATTGTTTTTCACCGCTTCTCCAATATTCAAACTCTTCCAGACATTCAATTTCTCACCTTTGTCCTTAAACATGCGTTTCCAAGCCCCTGTCTCGCGCTGGACTTTATCTCCGTATTCGACAGAAGAGTGCAGTACTGTCGAGAGAAACATATTATACAGATCGACATATAAATCAATCGCTTTACCGCCTTCACTCTCAATAGAAGAAAACAAGTCATCCTTCTGTTGTTGTAACACCCCAATTTTGTTCACATCTGGACGTTTGTCTTTATTCATCTTTTGTAATTTAGTGTCTGTCGTCGTGTATGCGTTCACCATTTTGTCGAACTCATTTCGGATCATCTTGTAGTTATTTGATCGCTCTGTAAATTCTTTGACGGACAAAAAGAGCTCTTCGGCAGATCGGAGTTGCTCGGAGAAGTCATCAAATGACTTTGAAAACATGTTTCCCATGAACTCGGCAGACTCTTCAACTTCAGCTCGCGAGCCGGTGTCTCGTATGGTTAAGTTCTTTAAGTTTTCTCTCATGTCTTGTGATAACTTGCGTTGTGTAGTGATCATGTCAGAAAGTGCTTTCCATTGTTGTTGTGAGTCGAGCATTTTCCCGCTCTTCTCTCGAGCAATTTTGACTTCATTTTGAAGGGTGTCGAGTTCTGTAGTTAAAGTATTGATCACCTCTTCTTTAGTGATTTCCTTATTCTCAGAACTTGGTTCACTTTCATTATGGCTTTGTGGTTCTGTTTGTGATGATATCAGACTCTCTGTGTTCTCTTTTTTATCGTCCTTTTTGGTCTTTTTGAGTGTTCGTGGTGAACATATTTCACATTCACTTATTTCAGACTTTTGTTTGAAGACTTTTTTCTTCTTAGCATTTTGGTCTTTTTTGGGTTCTGGAGTGTCTGCGTCGAGGGCTAGTGTTTTTCGTCTGACGCGATTGTGTTTGGCGTTCTTCATTCGTATCTCCGAGAGGATGTCAGTGCTCAACTGCTTTAATGAAGAGTTTTGGATTTGACTTTGTGGTCGTACAGGTTTTCTAATATGAGTCGTTAGAATTTGTGAATTGTCCTCTAAAAAGTCGAAGGAAGTATGTTTCCCTTGTGACATCGTTCTTTTTTCAAGTTCTTTGACTCTGTAAATTCACTATTTACGTCCAATACATCAAATAACATTTTTTTGTGTAAAAAAAGTTCAGTTTTGTTTTTCTTTCTCTTTTTTTTTGAAGAGAAACGTATACTAAAAGTAATAGTATAAGAACTATAAAAATATACTAGAATCACCCACTGAACGGAAATCGAAGGTTTTAATGAACTGAACCCTAAATCCAATTGAAGGATGCCATTGTCGAACGGACGCTTTAGACGTACTCGTAAATTGTTCCGCAGACCTTACAGATGCCACGGCCTTCAGAACACTACGACTTTCCTCCACAATTACAAAATTGGCGATTACGTCACTGTGATGTGTAACTCCGCCGTTCAGCATGGCCTTCCTTTCAAAAGCTTCCACGGCAAGACTGGAAGAGTTTGGAACATTAACCCACACGCAATCGGTGTCATGATCAACAAGAAGGTGAACAACAAAATTCTTTTGAAGAGATTCCACGTCAGACCAGAGCACTTGATGCCATCAAACTGCCAGAAAGACTTCCTCGCCAGAGTTAAAGAGTCCGAAAAAATTAAGCTCCAAAACGTTCAATTGAAGAAGGAAGGAAAGCAAACACTCGCACTCCCAAAAAGAATGCCAGTCTTCCCAAGAGGAGCTGAAGTCCTTAAGAAAGATTCTATTAAGTTCACCACTATCAACCCAATCAAATTCGAAGAACTTTATTAATTGAAAGGTTGTGTGAGGTTATATTTTGTTATATATAACATTTTTTAACTCGTTTGAATGTCACATATTGAAGTATTCTTCAAGTTATTTTTTTAGTTAGTAACACGTGGGAGCTTTCTTTTCTCTGGTTTATACGAAAAAAATAAAAAAAAGGAAAAACTTGGTTGAGCTCCTTTATGGATTATCATCCTTGTGATTTTAGTAAAATTAATATTCAAATAATAACAAAAATCACTAAGATATCCGAATTATTGTTATTTCAAATTATCGAAGTGACATTTCATCAACTTGATTCACACAAATTCATAGAGTGTTGTTTAAAAATTAAATGTAAACCCTTACGATAAGCGAGAATGCCTCTTTAATGTTCCTGTTTCGACACTGGAGCTAAAATTAAGTATTTTCATCATAATATTCAACGTTAAATATATTACTTATAATAATTTAATATATATTATATATATATTAAATTACTTAATTCGATATTGACTTAAAAATTACAAAAAATCAACACAAACTATTATAGTTGGGCTATCAAACATTCGCTGAGCAAACGAACCTTAGCCCAAAGAAAATATTATTTTTTTATCGTTAAATAAAACTAATAAAAGTCTTTTTAAAAAAAATACTTGTTTTTTTGTTTTTTAATTAAAAACCCGTGCTTTTAGAGAAAATGACAAATACTTTCCCAGTAAAAATAAAAATAGATGGACAAAAGTTTATTTGCTGGGCTAAGGTTAATTTACTCAACTGTATTCTTTTAACTTTTAGTTTTATATGATTAGTGAAATTATCTTCATAAAGGACTGAACAGATATTATCATTTTGAATTTTAAAGTTTATTCTATTAAAATGTTATTCAAAAAATAATTTTGTTTTAATAGTTTGGCAAAATAGTATGTTGTGTTTTAATGAAAAAAATTTCTAAGAAAAAAACACACAATCAATTCCAACGTGTTTATTGTGTGTTTATTTATTTTAATAACAAACCTATTGACGAGTAAAGGTAATTAAATATACTAATAATAATACTATAATTTATTAATCTCAGGAGTCATAGATGGATTTCTTGATAATCAATTTTTAGGAGTTTTTAATGAAGTTAATTTGGTGTTTTGAAAGCAACTGATTTTATTATGAAAAAGAAAGAAGCACTGAAAATAATAGGAGATGGACCCAACCACGAAAATTGTCCAAGACGATACAACACCAAGAAGCATCATTACCGTCAAAGCAGTTCAAAAGGAAAATAGTAAATCGAGTGAATTGGGTAGACCAACCAACTTTCAAGTCCAAGTAGAAAAAGCTGAAATCATTGAAAACGACGAGGAGAAATCTACTAATGATACAGAAAAGGCTAAAATGGTTGATGCCGAAATAACACCCGAGACGAACTCCGACGACCAAAGTTTCAGTTCTAAAAACTCCAAAACCGATAAAAACAGTTTGGAAAATGCCGAACATAGCGACACCGAAAAAAAAGGAGAAAAAGACGACAATAAAGACGACACAAAAGATGACACGTTAATTTCTGAAACCCTCCAAAAAAACGAAAAGAAACGAAAACTCCTCATCACCGTCGAACCAGCTACACCAGAGAAGAAATCATCTCATGACAAAGTTCATACTCCTTCTACGAAAAAAGACGAAAAAATCTCATTTAAAGTACTTTCTAAGACCGACGACGACATCGACACGAAAGTGAGTGACCACCAACCGCGGTGTAAATTTGTGTCGCGAGCTTCGATGGTCAATTTAGTGACGGGATGTTCCGAAGAGAAGCAACTGGATTTAGTCGATGTCGTCTTAATTGGCCGCAACGACGTGACAAACTTCGACGAAGTGGTGAGCGGGAAATTGATTCTCACCAATTACAAACTCTTTTTCAAACACCCGTGTGTGTTACTCAACATCTCGATTCCCTTAACGCAAATCGCCAATTCGAAGAAGGTGAATTCAAATGAAAAGGTCCACAAACGCATTTTTACTATTGAAACTAAAGACAATAGAAAATTTTACTTTTCGTTTAAAGACCAACAAAAAACACGGCGGCAATTCAATGACGCGTTAAAGGCTTTGGCCTTCGCAACCGCTTTAGACAAGTTCTTCATCTTCCAAAGCAAATTTCCACCGGCAAGAAAAGAGTTTTACACCTTCTTGGAGGAGTTCAAGAGACAAGGAGTCTCTGAGATGTGGAGAGTTTGTGACATTAATACCAAGTACACTACAGTCCCAACATATCCCGCGTACATCTACGTCCCAAAAGACTCAACAAACGCTATGATAATGGATGCTATTAAACACAGAAGTAAAGGCAGATTCCCCGCATTGACGTGGTTTAATAAGACGAATGGATCTGCTTTAGTCCGCTGTGCACAGCCATTACCTGGTATAGTAGCACCATTAACTGGTAAGAACACGACAGGGGATGTTGAGTTCTTAAGGTCTGTATATGAAGCGACTGGGGAACAAGGGATTCATGTCTTAGACTCGCGACCAAAGTTAAATGCGGTGACGAATAAGGCAGCTGGTGGTGGGTATGAGGATGTAGGGAGTTATCCGTTCTTAACTTTAGAGTTTGAGAATATAGATAATATCCATGTTGTGAGAGAGTCGTTGACGAATTTGGCTGTTTCGGTGTTTGAATATGAAGAGAACATCACCGACAAAGTCTTCTTGAAACAACAATGTGTGAAGCAATGGTTCTTCTTACAAGATACGATCTTTACTTCAGTCAAGAAGGCGTGTAAGTACTTGAATGAAGGAAGTAGTGTGTTAGTTCATTGTTCTGATGGGTGGGATAGAACATCCCAATGTTGTGCTTTAGTGCAATTACTTGAAGATCAATACTTCCGGACATTAGAAGGGTTTATAGTCTTAGTCGAGAAAGACTGGAAGAGTTTTGGACATCGTTTTGCGACACGGACGGGGTTTGGGCAGGTCTGTCCTTATGGCCAGTATGCGCCAATCTTCTTCCAATTTCTTGATTGTGTCCACATCCTCATCGCTCAATTCCCAAATCTGTTTGAGTTCAATGAACAATTTTTGATCGAGTTGAATGACGCGACGTATTGTTCCGATTATGGGACTTTTATGTATGACTGCGAAAGAGAACGTGTTAAGAATAATATAGAAAAGATCACGCCATGCTTCTGGGAATACGTCATGTCGGCTTCATGTCGTTTCATTAATCCAGCGTATGACAAAACATCAAGTGGGATGATCGGATTAACAGACCAACAACCAACTATGGTGGTCTGGGAAAAGTACTTCACTCGTCATAAATTGAAAGAAAGAAAACACTGAAAGAGTTGAATTCTTCGGTTACTATTCAAAATGGTTTACTTTACTAATTATTATTACTTCGAGTTTTGTCGAGCGCTAAATTTAACGAGTGAATTTGTTATGCATCTATTTTTTAACTATATTTTTATAATAAATATATAATAATTTTGTGTTGTTATTCGAAAAGTTTAAAGAAAAAAAAAGAAAAGTGTAATAATAATAACTCGTTAATTAAAACATTAAATTAACATACAAGAAATCCATCAAATGATCTTGAAAACCCTGATTACTAATGCAGAATGAGAGGAAATTAAATGAGCTAATTGAGCATTTCAAAGAGCTTGAGCTTCGTGTTAACGATACGCAGGATATCGTTACCGCTTTGAATACAAAGTCGGAACAAGCCCACTATATTCTCCACAAGAGGGTACATGACGTTTCAATGATTTCATCTGCGTTGGAAGTCTTACAAACAGACGCGAACGTTTTGAAAGCGACTTCGCATGAAGAAACAAAGAAATGGAATTGTCTCTTGATGAAATTACAGAGAAGAGACAAACGACCGAATTTGGTGAGGGAAGAGAACACGTTGATCGCTCTTAAGAAGAAATTAGAGAATTTGAGAAAGACGGCGGATGTGATTGCATTGAAAAAATATCACAAGAAGGACTTAACAATTGCGTTGAAACAATCAGAAGAGAAAATCGTTGGATATTTCAAGCGTCTTGAGTTGAAGAGAGAAAACGTCAAGGAAAACGAAGACGGTTGGTATAAAGAAAAAGTGGAGATGTTCGACTTTCTGGACGATGTCAAAAGATTTGAAGGAGTCTATAAAGGGCTGAAAGACTCAACGAGTGCAACGGAAGATACTTTAAATACATTGGAAAAAATCGGGAAAGAACAAAATGATATGCTTGAAACGCTCATGGCGATGGAAACACAATACGAAGCCATAAAAAAGAAAGAAAAGGAAGAAAAGGAAATTCTATTGAAAAAAGAAAAAGAGGAAAGAATAGCAAAAGAAAAAGAAGCAATGAAACAAAAAGAAAAGGACGAAATGGTGAAGAAGTTGGCAACTTTAAAGGCACAAAACAAAGAGACGGAAAAACAAAAACAAAGTGAACAACAACAAACCCCTCAACAACCACAACAAAGCGGAAACACTTCCGGGGCTCAAACGAATTCAACAAATACTCAACAACAAAATGTCACGAACCCAATGAGTCAAACAAATACAGTGACACAAAAGCCTCAACTACAAACTACACAACAAAACCAAACAATACAACAGCCTCAACAAAACCCAAATCCGTTGGGATCATTACACACAATTAATACACCAAATGCACAGCAACAACCTCAACAACAAAGTAATTCAAATTCAATGTTCACAATGAATCCGGTTACCCAACAAAGCCAACAACCAACACAACAACAAGTTCAACAAATCAATAGAAATCCTTTAGGAGCTCAAGTACCTTTAACTAACACTCAACAACCAAATATTACTAACCCAATGTACGCAATGGGTCAACCAAATCCTGTGGTCCAACAGCCTCAACAACAATATCAAACAATGCAACAGCCTCAACAAACCAATGGTAATCCATTGGGAGCTCAAGTCTCTTTGAATAACACCCAACAGTCTCAACAACAATATCAAACAATGCAATTTCAACAACAACAAAACTCGAATCCGTTGGGAGCATTACACCCAATTAATACGCCAAATGCACAGCAACCTCAACAACAACAACCTCAACATTCTCTTAATCTTACAGGAACATTTAATTTAACAAATCCACCAAATCCAAATGTGCAGCAGCAACCATTAATGTTTTGGACACAACCGCAGAACCAAAATATAACAGGACAAAATGTTTGGGGGACAAACATGGATAATTGGGGGAATTCAGGATTAACCCCCCAACAAATTGCGACCCAAAAAATGATGGCGGCACAGAAACAGAATATGGCAGTTCCCGTTTCACAACAGACTGCACAAATGCGTGGTATGTATTAAATTGATAATTCAGTGTTGCTCTTCTCTAGTTTTCTATTAGATGATAGATGGTATTACAATTAATAATTAAAAGTAGTAAATTGAATAAGTATCAATAAAAAGAGAAAAACGGGACTAAAAAATCGAGAATGGACGGTGTGAAGGAAGCGGAAGTGAGAAAGGAGTATGAGAACGTGCAAAAGGATCGCATTGAAGACATTCCGAATGTCATCTCACCGCTTTCGAAAGAAACGCAAGACAAAATGAAAGAAGTCTTTTCACGAGAAAAGAAGACGATGGGGATGAGGCAGATGATGTCATCTAAGACGGATCTGACAGACTTGAAGAATAAGTTGTATCAATGCTTCATGATGTCGACGTCTAAGGACAGACCGAGACAAGAATATCAATATCGCGAAGGTGGGTACATCATCATGCCTTCTGTTTCTGCGCCTGTGGTACTCGACAATGTCTACAAACTGTTGAACGATGCTGAGTATATTCCACAAGAAGACGCTCGAAGGATTAAAGACTCTCATGTTGACATCGTCCACCGCGATACCGTCTATCACTTTGTTGAAAAGCTTCCCAAAAATGTCGGTGATAATGAGCTGATAGCTGTTTTTGTCATTGGACAGTCGTGGCAGTTCAGAGAGTTTCCTATCAAAGACCCATACAAATTCTTAGAGAGGTATCTTGGGTTCTATGTCAGACTTGATTCAAAAGAATGGCCTCGAGATCCATGGCTGAAGGATTGCACTATAGTTAACGTTTGTTCATTCATTAAAAAGGTATAAGAAGAGGGAAACAAGACTGACGAAACAGCTCGACTCGAACGACCAAAGGAATTGGAAAGACTGCAAAGACATGTTTTGGCGAACACTGGATGACTATCTTGAGAGACGGAAAAGGTGAGGTGGTATATAATTTAGTGAGCGTCGTCATTGGGTTACTCAGTGGAATACAACGGAATGAAAATAGCATAATACAATTACAATGCGTTTGGCTTCGCAAGAGAAATGATGGGGATGTTACTCTTCGAGTACCGCTTTGCCCAGGTGTCATACTCCTTTTTCCGCAAATCAAAGCGCGCTAAGGACCCACTCATCATGATATAATTCTTGTCATGCACATATAACGCTTTGCAGATGTCACGCATTAACTCGATCCTCTCTAACATCCTTCGCACGACTATTTTGTCGAAGTCAAGCGCGACAAAATCGGGTCTGTTCCGCGACTCGTACAATTTCTTCTCTTCTTCATGTAAATTATCGAGTTTAGTACACCGGCCTAAAGTCATTCGATATAACAATAAGACGTGGAAGGCGTCCCGAACATAACTACACCAATGCATGAAGAAATATCTGAAGTGCTGTTCTAATATGAAATCGTATGTTACTACTTTGCGCTGTGCCCCATTGAGGTAGGGAAGAATCTCGATTAACATATTAACAACATTGATCAACGCCTCTGCGTTGTCTGTTCGAATGATGATGTGTATGATATTAACAACCGACTGAATGTCGACTCTCTCTTCGATGAAAAACATCCGATGGAATTTGGATAACGCAGAGAGACTCTTCTTAAGATATTCGGAGATGAAAACAACCTTCTCGATATCAAAGAGGTTCGTGTTCTTCGAATAGATGGAAAGCATCTTATTGAACTCTAAGGGCATCTTCCTGATCAGCGCGTCCTCCGCCATGAAAAACGTCAGATCCTTCCACTCAAAGGACTTCCAACACAACGTGCGCCAGCGCAAAAACTCGTCAACAAACTCTTGAAAGGGAACCGAGTCTTCTAATTCGCCTATTTTGCGCTCGGAGACAAACAAAATGGAAGAGCGCAATACACACGCGACAAACTGCCCTCTGGAGTGAAAGGGGGAGTAATGCAATTCAGATAAATGGACATCGTCTTGGACATAGCACGAGTCGTTCTTCACTAACTTGTCGGTTTCCAGCATTGGGGAAGAAACCCTATACTCAGGCGTTCCAAAAGACATTTGTGTGACATTGTCGATGATGTCCGAGTGCAACGAAAGTCTCAAAGAAGGTAAAGAGTGTGACAACGACGTTAATAACTCGCCGTATAACACCGTGAAAGTCAACGGGAGTGCTTTAAAAGACTTCTGTGATGTTTGTATCGAAGTCAAGAGTCGTGTCAAACACATGAACGTGTCCATACAGAAGGTCTTATACGTCATAAAAGTCTGCATCAATTGCTGGGACTTCGTTTTACTTAAGATAACGGAGACAGACCGAATCGGTTCATAAGACACACACATGACAATGACGTACATGACAACGGTAGTTGATTGTTTGGAATACCCATAAGCAAGCGATTTGTTCATTTCTTTCCAGAACGTGAAGATCGTTCGATAACAGTGAACAAGACTCGTTGAACTATACGTGTTAGTTAATGTAATTATTAATTATAGTACTTTTATTATAAAACGTGTTAATAGTAAAAATACTAGTTTGGAATAGTTCATTATTGTAGAGTTCATCATATGAAAGGAAGAACAAACGAAACGACTGGGATCGGTTTTAAGCGTATTGCCGTCAGTTGGTCAACAAAACAGTCGAGGGTGTGCTTCATGTTACTCCCCATTTCTGTGACACAATTTGTGAGTTAAAAACAAACTGGATTTTGATTGGCAAGCAACGCTGCGTGAATTGATGGAGTGAGTTCGTCTATACTTCGGATCATTTCTCTATAGTCCTCCTCCATATTCTGTCTTTTTCTGATTCTTATGACTTTTTATTGAAAGTTCTTCTTGTCTTCTTCAATCAGATAAAGAAGTCACCATTCATTCTTTTTTGTTTCTAAGCAGCCAAAATTGCTGAAGTCTTTGCTTCACTTTAAATTAAAATTTAATATTTTTTACCACCTTTGTTTTGATTATTATTTTGCTTGTTTTAATCTCAAATGTGGATAGATTTTATTGTTGTATTTTGTACTATTCTTTAATAAGTTAGTAATATGTTAAAAACGCTGTGGATTTTTTAAGGTGACAAAAATAAGAACCATCAATAATCTATTATGGTATTATAATAACTAGAATAATAATAGTTCGCTAAAATTTTAAAATATCGTTTAGGCGTTTTCAAAATAATTATTGCTGAAAATGTGTATTATAACGTACGAATTTATTAGAGACAATAAACATTTTGGTTATAATATGGTGACGTGGGTAATTAGGATTGTAATTTTGAAAACCTCTGATAGAATAAATAAATAAATTTCATAAATAATTAAAAAGAATTAGTAATTTTAATAGTCAAAATCTTATACAAGAAATAGTTTTATATTTATAATAAACTGAATTAAAACTATAATATATCTCTCAATTTCTTTGAACTCAATGAAGATTGGTAAAATCAAACCATACTTTAAGTAGTTTCAAATAATAATAAAAAAGTTAAAAAAATAGTAAAAGAGCTTGATTCTAACTTTTACACAACCCAAAAAGAAATTAATTATGGTTGGATGAGCAAATGAGAGTACTTTGGTACTTCTTTTCCGATCATGTTCTTGTCCAACACGATCTTAGCGTCGAGGACCAAGAATTCCTCATAAGAGCAAGCGAGCGGGTTAATATCGACTTCGGAGATTTCTGGGAAGTCCATGATCATCTTAGAGAATTGGACCAAGAGTTTCTTAAGTCCTTCGACATCACATCCTTGCATTCCTCTGTACCCGTGGAGTAACTTAGAGATCTTAGTACCGTCAATAAGTCTTTCAGCGGCATTCATATCGATTGGTGGCAAAGCGATGTTAGTGTCCTTATACAATTCGACGGTGACACCACCCATACCAAAGACGATGACTGGGCCGAACAATGGGTCTTTCTTGCATCCGATAATGCACTCATATTTGAATGAACACATCTTCTCAATGAGGACACCGTGGATTCTAGCTTCTGGTTTCATAGCCTTAACTGAGGTCATAATATCATTGAACGCCTTCTTAACATCTTCTTCAGTCTTCAACCCAATCTTAACTCCTCCAACATCAGTCTTGTGCATAATATCTGGGGACAAGATTTTCATGATGACTGGATATCCCATCTTAGCGGCTTCAGCAACAGCTTCGGCTTCAGTAGCAGCCTTAGCCATTCCCTTAATTGGGATGCCGTATTTGGAGAACATAAGTTTTCCTTCGTACTCAGTGAAAGTGTTTCTTCCGTCCTTGACAACCTCTTCAATCAACTGCTTGGCACCTTCGTAGTCGACTTTGACGTCAACATAGTTTGGTACTTCCTTCAACTTAGCAGCCATCTCTGGGTGTCTCATGATGTAACCGAAAGCAGTAACAGCTCTCTCTGGAGTCTCGAAGTTTGGAATCTTTCCGGCTTCAAGGATCTTAACACCGGCTTCGACTTCGGATTGACCCATCCATGAGGCCAAGACTGGTTTGCTATATGGGCCGTGTTCGACAACGCTCTTAGCAACGGCGACTGGGTCAGTCATAGCTTGTGGAGTCAAAACAACGACAATACCGTCGATCTGTGGATCCTTCAAGCAAATATCAATAGTCTTTTGATAAGTGCTAGCAGTGGCATCACCAAGGACATCGACTGGATTTCCATGTGACCAGAATTGGGAGAGTGATCCGTTCAATTCAGTCATAGTCTGTTCAGACAACTTGGCCAATTTACCTTTAACGGAGACTAATCTATCAGTAGAAATGACACCGGGTCCACCAGCATTAGTAATAATGCAAAGTCTGTTGTTCTGTGGAACAGTTTGAGTGGCCAAGACGTGAGCACAATCCCACAAGTCACAAATGGAGTCGACTCTAATGCAGCCGCATCTATCAAAGACGGCATCATAAACAGCGTCATTACCAGCAAGGGAACCAGTGTGTGACATAGCAGCAGCAGCTCCTTCAGATGATCTTCCTGATTTCAACAAGATAATGGGCTTATCCTTAGCGAATTCTCTGGCTCTCAAGACGAATCTCTTAGCGTCCTTAATTGATTCAATGTACATCAAAATTGAAGTGACTTTGTCATCCTTAGCGAAGAACTCGAACAAATCAGCGTAATCAGTATCAATGGAAGATCCAATGGATACAAAGTATGAGAACCCAACATGTTGATTGGCAGCCCAATCAAGAATAGCTGTGCACAAAGCACCAGATTGTGAAACAAAAGCAACTCCTCCGGCTTCTGGCATAACTGAAGCGAATGAAGCATTAACACCATCTCTTGGGTTAATAATACCAAGGCAATTTGGACCAATCATTCTCATGTTGTACTTCTTGCATGTGGCTTCAATCTCTCCACACATCTTAATTCCTTCAGCACCAGCCTCAGCAAAACCAGCAGTAATGATGATAAGTCCTTTAACACCAGCAACACCACATTCAACACAAACACTTGGGACAAACTTGGCTGGAATAGCAATAACGGCCAAATCGACTTTCTCGGGGATATCACCAACCTTGGCATAGCATTTCATGCCAAAGAGTTCTGGCTTACGGCCATTGATTGGGAAGAGCTTACCCTTGAAGCCTCCTTTTTGCATGTTCTTCATCACAGCATATCCGACGGATTCTGGTCTGTCAGAAGCGCCAATGACGGCGACGGTTTTTGGTTGGAAGATTGCTTCAAATTGCATTGATGAATTTAAAAAGTCTGGTCACCATTTTATAGAGAGAACGATGTGGTGTGGCGTGGGCACTATGTGGAATTTTAAGGGTTTTGTTATTTCTTGTCTTCTTTATGAAATGGTGTTTATCAGAACTTACAAAAGATATTTTTATAGTAAATAATCGGGAATTTTGGGAAACTTGAAAACATAAAGAAAACCTCCTACATTTTGAGGAAAACGGTGAGGAAGAAATGGAAATTGTTAAATCCTCCAAAGTTTTTCGGGTTTTTTTAAAGGGTGAATTCGAAGTTTTGGAATGGTCCGCAGAAGTGTGACGAATTTTTAAGTGGCAAAAACAAAAATGTATAACACTTTGAGAGATTGACAAATTATTCATTTTATTAACTTTATAAAACAGTTATTTATTATTATTTATTATTATATAAAATATAAAATGTTTAAATTCCAGTTGGATTGTTTTATAAAAAGCTTTCTATCATAATGAATTACTAATAATTACTATATTTTTTATTATAGGCATTCCAGATAGAAATGGACTTTATAATTAAAGAACTATATTATTGGATATTTTTTTTTATTTAAGTGTCTCAGTCAAAATTATTATTTAATGTGACGGAATTCTTTTGATAAAATTATTACACTATTTAAACCGTCCAAAATTTCGGGTTTTAAGAGAGATAATATAACTTCTATTTTTAAATAACCAAAAATGTATAATTTCAAATTGAATCGACAAAAAAAACACTTTTGAGATTTTTTTTTTAAATCAAAAATATCATATTTTATTTTACAATCATTAATTATTTTTTATTGGATTTTATTAGTAATATATGGTTTATTATTAGTTTAAATATAATTTTTTAAAATTATTTTGCCTTCGTTAAAACTAAAAAAGTTAAAAAAGTTAAAAATAGAAAGTATAACAAGATTTGATTTGAAATTAGTAATTACTCAATATAATAATGAATATCATTTATTTACCAATACTTAACACTTAAAATAACGCCCTTGTTTTTGTTTTGGCCTGTTTTTATGGGGATATTAATCCATTTTTTAATGATTTTCCTTTTTTGGCTTGTGTATTGTTTATGCACATAATACAATCTCTAAAAAATGGAAATTTATTTAATAAACTCGAGATTTCCCGATTTTTAGACCACTTGAATTTTGTTCAATGTTATTTAAAGTGTTAATAGCTAAAAAATAATAAAAAATAAACTTAAATAAACACTAAAAATGAACTATACATCACAATTATATTTTAATTAAAATTAAGTTAATAAAAAAAACTGAAAATGAATAGTAAAAATAAAAGTAACTAATAATAAAAGAACTATCAAATGAATATGTCAAAGAAATAGATGATGTTTGACATCCAAAGAACTCGGAAACATCAAACTGGCAATGTCTCGACAGCGTTATGTCCAGGCGTTTGAAAAGAATTCGAAGTTAGGGGTGATGAAGAAACGGATTATAGGGACCGCTGAGATCAAACAAATATTGGCCAATGAGTACTTTGACAATTCGATGCTTCCGATCACGAAATTACGAATTGACGATATGGTGAAGTGTTTCAAAAACAGCACCGATCACATCACAAAACGGATCTTTATCCAAATGATGGAATATTTGGATGTATATGTCCATCGTTGGGGGAAGCTTTCAAGTGAAGTTGTCGCCTTTATGATGTTCAAAGGTCTTGACAGGAAGAGTGTTGGAGAAATCACGTACAATGGCTGTACAACCGACTTAAAGATGTATTTAGAGAGTTTCAGTGAAATTGTTCCCGGGAAGTCTTCTGAGAAGGCGACAGAAATTATTGAGAAGTTGAAGCCGGTGTTTTATGGTAAAGTGTATGCGAAGTACGACACATCAAAAATTGGGGTAACGACACCAATTGTTCGTAAGTTGTTAATCGACATCTTTCAAATCGAAAAGACTATAACCCCTTCTCTCATCATTTTAGTCAACGCATTGGCCAAAGACAATTTGGTTTCTCTTAGCAAATTCTTGATAATATGTAATGCTCTAGAATGGGTCATTGAAAGAACACAACACCTCACTATCCTTGAAATGTTCACTGCAATATTCTATGTCTTGGATAAAGAATATCGTGGAGTTGTTCCAGTCGAAACAATTAAACTGTTTTTAACCCAAATTGGGTCTTCTGTTGCTGTCATGTCGACATGTCCCGATTATCAATTAGTCGAATTCTTACACTACGCCGAGACGATATCTGAGAACATCTTCGACTTCAAAAAGTTCTACGAACACATATTTGTCCCAGTAAATGACTTGAAATCACTTTCGCCACTGACTCTTATTCAAACGAAAAAGACTGTTCCCGTCTTTGTTGGGACGACGAAAGGAAAGACGGAGTTTTTGAAAGAAGTGTTTGATAAGCTTGAAATAGACATTAGACTCCAAAGTCGTATTCTGGACGAATTACAAATTGAAGAGAAAACGCCGGAAGTGATCAACTTTGTTTCGAAAGTGTTTAATGAGAATGTGAGGAAATATGGCCGAGATGAAGGTGTTGTTCGCGCTATATTCTTCACATTCCAGTATCATGGAATCGACTCCGAATCGCTTGTTTTGTGCTCGAAAATCCTTGGCATGGAAATAGATAAAAACAGTGCAGACTTTGTGATCCAAGCATTTGTGGAGGACGACACGGACAAATTGAATGTCGACAATTTTGTGAGGTATTGGATGAATCTCGATTATCCACGTGTTGATGACACTCCGAGTGAAAAGGCGTCCAAACTTACGAAACGAACATTGTCGATGTTTAGAGCACTCGAACACAATGGGTTTGTCACAAAGGATAAGATCACGGAATTCATCGCAAAGCAATACGGGTCACTATCGTTCGAAGAGATCCAGTGCATCACCATATTATTTAACTACTTGTCCTCATTTAAAGAGGAATTGACCTTCTCACAGTTCAAGTTGTTTATGGTGGCTTATGAACGGTCAATGGGAACAACTACACTGTCTCTCGAATTAACAACAGAATGCATCTGCAACGCTATTTGGAATTCCCGACAGTTCCAGATCCTCCCGGCGCTCTTTAATATCACACAAGACGATCTTAAAACGTTCAACGCGAAATGTCAAGCAGAGAAGAAAGATCCTTCTCCAAAGGAGTTCACTAGTTTTGTCGTCCCGTTGATACAAAAGACTCAAATCTTCTAGAGGAAAGTCATTCTTATTCATTCGTTGTGTTGGCATCAGTTAATTAGAAACTAATAATATAATTCTAATACTCTATACCATATATTTTCAAAACAAAAGTATTAATTGAACACTTTTAAGTTAAAAATAAAGAATAGGGTAAAACTCAAAATTTTAAAGTGATGTCGTGGGGTATGTCGTTCATTTAATTTCTTTATTTGTACACACTTTTTGATATTAATTTGATAGTTTTAAACTAATGAATAGAGGATTTCGATGAAGACCAATTGGCTGAAATGCCGGAAGAAGGGCAAACTACTGCGACCCTGAACACTCTTGTTGCCGAGAAGAAAGAGGACGTCACCATCAGTAACAAAGAGCTGAAACAAAAGAAGGCTGAGAACAAGGTAGAGGAGAAACAGTATGTGGATCCATTGGCTGGATTGTCTGAAGAGGACAAGGCTGCTGCTTTGAAGCGCAAACAAGTCGAAACAGACGCGCAAAGTGCGAAAAAGTTGTACGCGGAGTTGGACGAGACAAAGCAGCTTGAAACGATGTCTGTAGTAACTGACAAAGATTTCATGAAATTTGGGCAATTACTTGGGATCAAGGGGCACAGTCTTTACACTGAAAAATCGAAACAGTTCAAGTTGTTAGTGAAAGAGTGTTTGAGAGAATTGACAATCGACATGAACAGTATTGAAGTCAAGGAAATCGCGTCGTACGCCGACGTTCTTTTCAACCAAAAAATTCAACTTGAGAAAGAGGAGAAAAAGAAGCGCAAGCCGACGAAGAAGGCACTTCCTAAAGCGACTCTTGGGAAGAAGGGGAATGAAGTGATGGATGATGGGGATGATGATGTACCTGCTTATGAAGATCTTGATGACGATTTTATGTAAAGTCGTTTACCTTACTTTCAAAGCTTTAAGGACACAATAATTCAGTCGTTTTATTCTTTATTATTACAAACTATTAACAAGAATACTAAAGAGTATTATGGAGTAATTTTCCAGTCGATTGGTGTGGTATTATGTGCTGTAAGATACTCGTTACATAATACAAAGTGATTGTTCCCATCAAACCCTTTTGCTAAAGGAGAAGGATGCGGCGCCTTCAAACAACAATTTTTCTTCGCGTCGACACATGACGCCTTTTTCTGAGCAAAAGAGCCCCAAAGGAGATAAACCAAATTGGTCTTTTGTGAGGCAATAGTCTGTAATATATCATCAGTGATTGGTTTCCACAGTTTCTCGTGCGAATTGGACTTGCCAGCAATGACTGTTAACGTGGCGTTAAGCATTAATACCCCTTGTCTTGCCCACTCAATCAAATATCCATGTTTCGGTATCTGAAAGTCTGGAATTGTGCGTTTCAGCTCTTTGTATATGTTCTTTAAAGAAGGAGGGACAGCAACACCTTTGTTAACACTGAAACACAACCCATGGGCTTGCTTCTCCTTGATATATGGGTCTTGTCCTATTAAAACAACTTTTAAAGTGTCATATGGCGTTTCATTGAACGCAGCAAAGACTTCTTCAATAGGAGGGTAGATCTTTCCCTTCGTGTAACTCTCAGTAATTGTTTTAACACTTTCGCTGTTAATATATTTTTGAAATATAGGTTTTAATATTTCTCTCCACCCCGGTTCAGTCAAATGTTTAAATAGTGGATGACTGTACACGTCATCACTCCCATACGTCTTTCCAATCTTCTTCTTTTCATCGCCTTTCTCTTCTTTCGGTGTATTTTCGTTCTTCTTCCCCTTAAGGAAATTCATTAAATCCGTCTGCTTTTCGTTCACACCTCTCTTCATGCGCCCTATTTTTTCTTTTTAAATTCAGTTTGAATCTAATATAATATAATATTTTTATAATAAATCTGATATTCGTCACAATTCGAAGAATTGATTGAGGAATTCATCTATCTTTAATCTATTTACATAGTTTGTTATAGTTTGTTATAGTTTGTTATAGATTTTTAATAATATTATTAATACCATTCTATCAACAACTTAACATGTTACAAACAACAACTTAGAACAACGGGTAAAGTGAATAACTATAAAATTAACTATATGTTTAGTACACCTCTTACTCGATCGTTTCAATGATCATAGAGCGCGACGGTCGTTTCCCCTCACTCTTCGATCGTGCTCCAATGACTACACTCGAGTTCACAAGTTGTGACCGTGGTGATGTAAGACCAGACCCAGATTGTGATTTTGAAAGGGGGAGTTCTGGGGACTTCGGGAATATCGTGATTTTCTCTGAAGCCCTCTTACCCACCACCACTGTCGGGCGTTGTGTTTTTGTTGTCGGTCGTGCCTTCGCAAACTTTAAATTTGGTTTGAGTAGTTCTGTGCCACGCTCGACAGCGCGATGTTTTTCGCACAAAAGGACGTGTTGAGTTTTCTTCGCGAAGTCGACTTGTTTAAAAAAGCCGTGAACAAGACATCCAATCGAAACGTGTTGATCGGGTCGTGGTTTTAAAATAGTTTTTTGTGGTTCTTTAAATGTCAATTCTTCGTAGTGCGTGACCATATACTTAAAGATTTTCCATTGTGTTGCTGGTGGGATATTTTGTTTAAAGAAGTATTCTGTGAATTGGAGAGTGACTTCTTTAAGATTTGGATTGTATATAACCCATCCGTGGAGTACAAACAAGATCAATTGAAGTACTTTTTTCTTTGTTGAGTGTGTGATGTGGTTAATAAGAAAATTAGATATCTTTAGTATATCATCTAGTATGTTATTAATTATTATTAATTATTATTAATTAACTATTATAGTTATTATTAAAGTAATTTGTGTTAAACAACAAACTGTCACCAAACGAAGGCATTGACTCAACACTAAAAAATGGCTCAACCATTGCACTTAAAAACAAGACAAACATCCCAACAACAATCTTCGATGAAAGTAAATAGAAGTCGACGTATTCACCAAGTTCGCATTTTGTTAACATGTTTTGTGCTTCTTTCAAGTCGGTTTCAATAAAGAAATATTCAGATGTAAATTTCTCATTCAAGTACATTGCATTGCAGATCTTCAAAAGAACAGGGGGAAGCCCTTCTTCACAATACAAATCGTCAACTCGAACACCACAAAGTCCATATTTGCAATGAAAAATCTCAACCACTTTTTGTAACACTGCCATTTCGCCTTTGTAAGTCCCTACAATCTTCTGTACCCCTCCTTCCCAATTCGAAAAAATTTTGATTTGTTCGTTTAATGGTTCGTAGACTATACTAATATTTTCCTTTGGAATGACATTGTATGTTTCTGTTTTGATACAGAGAAATTGCTCTGCCTGGACTAACATAGCACTTCCATATTCATTCGAAACTTCGTAGCGCCCAAAGAATGAAGACCCAACAAACGAGTCTTCTAAAAGTTGACTAAATGAACTCTTAGCCACCATCACTATGCTATTCTTCTCTTTAACAACATCACCAATGATACTCTCAGATGATATCCACCCAACTATCCGTTTCCCATCCCCTCGGAAAAACGTGACACATTCTTGACACCCAAAAACTCGCTTTAAAGCTTCTCGAACACTCCCCATTTTCTTTGTCACATCCATTGGCATCATTATTTCTTCATTCGAATACTGAACACCAATGTTCCGATTCGGATCCATTATGACATAGACTCCGTCACTTTGAAACACCTCTTCGTCTAACTCAACTTCAATTATTCTTTCGTTCTCGTATAAAATAACACGTGTTTCGTGGATGTCGTCTTCATCCAGAGAACACACTGTTTGTATAAACGAAATGTAAATCGTCCCTTTAATAACACTATAACTCTCTAACACGCCACTGTCATTCAAAAAGTCGAGGGTGATTCGATTCGGGTCCTTAATTATTTCACCACTACTTAATCTCCGTATCTTCTCTTGACCCCCAATTGGTTCCAACTTCTTCGATATGTCAAGTCGATTACTTTCAAGTGTTGTTTCTTCGACAATTGCTTGTAACATATATCTCTGAAGTACTTCATTTGTGCTCAAACAATACACCCGTTGCTTTAACACAGAAACTTCCTCTGCAATTGCAGTCATTCTCTTACACTTGTTGAAATTAATTCCATCCTCCTCTGTCGTGGACTTCAACCCATCGTCCGTGAACAATATGTCACCAAGGAAACACCCAACATAGGGTACACATGGTTTGTGGATAGCATACTTTAATTCATTTCGATAGTTCTTCCATCGCTCATCGGGCGATGCAAAGTCGTTGAGCCTCTGACTGATCTTCGCGTACTCCGGAGACACAAAAGAAAACGATTTTTTGAGGCGACATATTGCACTTGTCGAGAACAACGTGATGATACAAATCACCGCGTCATAATTTTGGAGTTTAAAACACTCGTTGGCAATGATTAAAATGTTCTCGATGATTTTCGCGCGGATCTTTGCGGAGTTTTCCGTCAGTATTTGATGCGCAAAGTAGTTTTGAAAGTTGTTAAAGAGATTCACACAGTTTTGTACATTCGGACATCGGTCCTTCGCCTTATTCCACAAGATCAATTCGAAATTTGAGATTTTCTGAAATGCGTCGGACTGGATTAAAGTCATTTGCCTTGCGAAATCGATTGGGTCGATTTCAAGGAAACTTGCTTTAAATGTCGCCAACACAAACTCCAACGAGATGAACTCGACGCGTGGTTTTGGTGATATAAAGACGACTGTTTTGTCAGTGATTTGTTTTCTGAGTAAATTTGATTGTTTTTTCATTCCATAGTTGAGCATTCTATCAGTGAAAATGGTCATCACTTGAATGGCTTCTTCTGCTTCGATATGTGAGAGCAGTGGCAAGATTTTTGTTGAGAACACAGACAACATCCGAGTGATTCGAGCTCGTATCACTACACTTTGTTGGCAGTGAATACTCATCACGACCTCGTATCGAAAAAAAAATTCGCTTAAGAGGTCGCGTGGTGTTGTGAAGAGTCTGAACGTCCAAATGAAGTCATTAAAAATGGTTGAAGACATGCAGCAGTAGCTCACCATGTCCCGAAAAGAACACGACTGTAAGTCTTGTGGGAGTTGTGGAAACGCGATGTTCAAAACGGCCTCTGTGATTTGTCCTGGCAGCGACACTGAATAGTTCGTTTGTGGGTGTGGGGATAGCAAGCAATAATGCCTGTAAATCTCTGTTTGAAAAGTCGCGCGTGCGTCCGCGGATTTGTCCGACACCATGTAGCAATGCAGTGTATAAACTTTTGGTAGCATTGTCGATGTTTGTGTGGTGATTTTATCATTTATTCAGTTCAGAGAAGGATATGACATCTGTTGTTCCCGATTAATACTACCATTTGCTTCCATTTTTGTCAGCCTTCTTCTGTTTTTCTCTGAACTTGTCCTTATCCCTTTTGTTTTACGTTAAACTCAAAACGATAAACTTTATATCTTATTTTTAGCTCGGTTATAGCTTCTTTTTAGTTAAGAGTGTCTTGACTAATTTTTGTTAGTGATCTCAATGTTCATTTCTATTTTCAATTCATAACATTTGTTATAATCATTTGGTATTTTAATTATAATTAATAATTTAATTGAGACTAAAGAGAGCTTTTCTATTTTTTGTTATCTATCGTGTTTTTTGAAATAGCCTCAATTCCTTTGAAAAGTCTTTTTCTAACATCAAATTATGATAATTTTACTATATAAGTATAGTATTCTACAATGCTAAAAAGAATAATAATATTATAATAAAGAAAAACCATCAACTATTGAAAAAAAAGAAAAACAAAAATCAAGAACTAATAAAGTGTACTATTACAAATAAATGATAACGATTCTCCTTTTGTTGTCAGTAGTGTCATCGCAGCCGGTAAATGGGATGCCAGAGCTACCAACCCCACACCCAATGATGTCGCAAATAACTCCCGAAATTCAAATGCCGAACATGCAAATTGCACCTCCCTCACCACTTCCTGTTGAGAAAATTAGTATCGATTTTAAAGATGAGTACCTCCCAACAGTCGGTACTCTTTTACTTTCAACCGCATCGTTGGCGTGTAGACAATTGGACACACAATATTTATCCGCGCTCGATGGAGAGAAGCAGTTGTATGCACGAATTGAAGAAATCTCGAAAAAAGAGAAGACCGCAAAGCCAGACGAGTTGATTGAATTGAGAAAACAAGTTGACGATATGAACTTGTCGATGCTCAAATTGAAAAAACAACGTATAGGGATGTCTGAAGAACTTGGGGACATCCTTCGAACACTTGGGAAGAATGAGAGCACTCAGTTGGTCAACGATCTTGATTTGAAAAAGAAGGTCGAACTCTACAAAAACGTAATGGACTTCTTGGCGAGCGAGAAGAAGAAACGCAAAGCGGAAGACAAAGCGATCTTCGACTTAGACATGAAAGAGACAATGAACAAAGCTCTCCAAACCGTCCAAGTCGAAAAGGAAGTTGCGGAGGAGCAGAAGAAAGTCTTCTACGCAACGGTCAACGAATTTAAGGCGAGAGTGATGTTACTCACTGAGGCTTTGACTGGTTTTGATCATCAGTTGTCTGTTCTTGCAAGCAAGTCTCCGCTTAAATACCAAGTTCTCGAGATTGCAAAGAGAGAGGAAGAGAGGTGTAAGATTGAGATCATTAAAATACGTAGTCTTTTGAAGAAAGGTTTGTATATCAAATTTTGTTATTAAAAATGTTATTTCAATCAACAACCCGATGAGTTGTAACACGAGTAATCACAACAAGCGAGGAAAGAGAAAAAGGGAGTGATTAAAACGCGCAAAAATGGTATTCAGAAAGCAAGAGATGAGTTGAAAGAATTACATAAAGACTTGAAAGATTTGAAACAGAAGAAAATAGTGAAAGGAAAGATTGCTGAGTTTGAGGCCGACATGAAAAACGTCAAGAAAAATTGCGAGTTAAATTCTATTTTGAAAGAAATCAAAACGATTGAAACGAAAATGTCGGAGGAGATGAATCAAAGAGTTGTTAAAGGAAATCAACTCGCAAAACAGGCAGAAACAAAATATGAAAAGGAAGCCCCTTTGTTGTGCAAAATGGGAAATGTCAGAGGATTTAAACTCTTTAAAAGACTCGAGAGACTTGAAAACAGAGTATCGTCCTTCCATAATTAAATCATCTTATTATCTTGTCAACCCATTCTAATTAAAAATATTAAAAGTTACTTATTATTATAAATGATAAATTATTTCTATATATTACCATGTTATAACTATATTTTTTTGTGAAATTTTATAAATTAATATGGTTAAATTTTTAATAATTATATGGAATGACAGCTTTGGGGTTTTGTAACATCTAATTATAATATATAGTTTAAATTACTATTTGTATTATAAATGGTTTAAACATTTTTTTTATATTACTTAATACTATTATTATATTATTATTTATTATATTATTTATTATATTATTTAACTTATTAAACACTTTGAGTAAAAAATATGCAGATAAAGGCTTAGAAAAATAGACACATAAAATCATTATGGTTATGTTTTTACCCCATGATAAACATTGTGTATCTTATTTGAATTACAAATTATACATTTATTGTTTTTGAAGAAAATAAGACAGAGATCAGCAAAAACAACTCATTCAATAATAATATAATATAATAAGTTAATTAAAATAATATTATTAAGTATCGACTGTCAAATAACGAACATGGATGTTTGAGAATAGCAATTGAAAACCCAACCGATATCAACAAACTAACCAAAACTATTTTAAATAATATCAACTTTTCTAATATCAAAGAAATCTTTTATTAATGTAATAGAGTTGTGAAGTTTTGTTTAACAAATCCTCACGAAATCAATAAAGAAATGATTCGATCGACTTGGAAATGTAACGAAAGAAAAACAAAAAAATGAAGTAACTATTCTTAAATAGTAAATAATAAATAGTAAATATTAATTAAATATCGAGAAATTATTTTCAGAAAAGAAAGACTGAGAGCCAACGAAGTAAAAATAAGTCTTTCCATTGGAACTCGAAATGAAAAAAACAAGTAAAAAATGGCGAGCGAGCTTGACAAGAAAATACGTAAAAAACAGACCTCTTTGTTCGACCCAAAGGAGAGCGCACCAAACAAACTGAAGGCCTGTATCTCGCTCCTTGAAAAGCAAAGTGTTGAGGAATTCCAGATTTTCGTCCGTCCCGAGAAACAGAAGTTTTCGATGTTTATTATCGAAGTCAGTCAGTACGTCGAGAACCACACAAAGAAAGGGAAGATAACTGTCCCTGTAAAAGAAGCGTTGACACACATTAAAGTGTTAAATGCTATGATTGGCTTGTATGAATACCCCGAACTCACTGTTTTCGATTTGTATCGTTTGTTTTTGACTTGAGATTGGTTGATAATAACACATTAGAAAAGTATTTAAACAACTACTTGAAAATCGAAACGGCACCAGAAGTCAGAGAAGCCGCTTTCCAATTGGTCATCGACCTTGTTTTGAAATATGGAGAACAAAGCGCGTTGACAGATTACTTCTTAGGAACTATTAATTTGGGGTGTCTCTTTAATCTCCCGGGGTATCCAGTACAGAAGTTGGACTATGCCGAAGTCTGCTTTAGTCTACCGGAGAGTGATTTTGACCAATCATCGATGTCCATCAAACTGGTTTCCGATTTCATCAAACAACTCAAGAAGCCAGAGAACTTCGAAAAATTGTTCCACTTGGTCGAAGCACTTTTGTCATACATTTTCCCACTCTTTGCTGAAGCTTCAAAATATAAATATAAGTTGGCGCACCCACTGATTAATTTGAAACAGACAACACCAGTACAAGTCCAGAAGTACGTCTTGGACTTCTTAAAGGAACTTTTGGTATCGCCAATTTCTTTGAAATTGAAAAATAGACCAAATACAATTCCCTTCATCCACTGCTTATACTCGTCGATTCTAACTTTAACCCCCGATGAAGCAACAAAGCCAGTCATCTCGCAAACCATCCCTTACTTCTTCTCCGAGTTCATTTTCAACCAATTCAGAACATCGGAGCTCGAAGAAATTGTGAAGACCAAACACTTTTTGGTCACGGAACTTATTCCCTTCTTCGACAAACCATTTGTCATAGGAAAGCCATTGATAGTTGGGCAAATTGCCGAAGAGATAAAGGCAACGCTCTATAAAATGACAACATTCGGGTGTGACAACGAAATGAAAGACATCGTCATCCAAACGGTATTGACTTGTATCGATTTGTTACTCAAAGCACAATTGGGGCAATCTGCTGGTTCGTTCACCGAGTTGATATTTATGTTCTACGTTAAATGGGATGTTTCTGACAAGTACTGGGAACTCCTCCGAACGCGTATTGCGGAGAATATGTCGAATGAGTTTGTGACCAAACAACTTTCGAAAAAGTTGTGGCACTACACACGTGCCGTGTTCAGAGAAAAGTACTCCCCGTTGTTGCTTGAAAACACCGACGAAGTGCTTGTTGGAAATAAGAAGGTACTTCGGTCCACTCGAACGGAAATTCCCGACGAAGTCTTTGTAGCACCCGCTGCTGATGAGAAGTTCACGTTATTGTTTGGGGAGTGTGATCAACAAAGTTCGATTAAGTGGTGGATGCGGTTCTATAGTCTGTTAGAACACGTGAATGACCTGAAGTCGAGCGAGAGTTATGAAAATGGCATTCGGATCTTATACGAAGTGTGTTGTTTATTCATTCGTGCTGAGACGAAGATGTGTGAACAGTTTAATCTTGAGGCAAAGGAGGGTCGGCCCGAGTTAATAGAAATCTTTGGCAAGATCTTCTTTGATGCCTTTGCAAAGAGTGAACACACGCCCAAGTCATTAGAATACAGTTATCGTGTCATTTGTAAATTAGTGAATCGGGGATATGTCCGGTATAGTAACGAGTTATACAGTCGGTTCTATGAGATCATATCCAATGGGTTGCCATTGATGCCAGTTGTCATATTGGAAGAGCTCTTCGACATTGTACCAAACCAAATTCCTGGGTGGCCAGTGTTGGTTATTCCCGTCATTGGCCAATTACAGAACTTGACTCAAGACAATTTCAAAGGAATCGCCAACTTGAATAGAGACGCACAGATCATTTCATTTTTGATGTCGTTGATCACCGTTGAAGATATTTATCCCAAAATACTCGAGGACGTTGGAGGAATTTCGGGAACCCTCAAGACCACTTACGACGACTCACTGACAAAATGCTTCAAAAATCTGTTACAAGTCTTTACATCAACCAAATCACAATCAACAATGTTGTTCGGGTTGATCGACCACATCGTCTTTGCCCGAAGAAAGAACCCTGAAGCCGATATTAACGAGACACTGGACATGATTCTTAAAAGAATAGAAATCCCAATTGAAGATGTCTACCGTCCCGCCTCAGAAGCTCTTGGACAACTCGCTTTGTTCAATCAGTACCTTACAGAAGAAGACGTCCAATATATCATTGTCAAAATGATGTCGAGTATCACAAATCCACAAACACGAAGCGAGTCGATTGCGTGTGCATTCACTGCGTTAACTGAGTGGGCGTTTGCGCCGTCATGTGTCTTTATCAAAGCGTTGATACCGGAAGTTACAGCGCAGCTACTTAATGGTATTTCGTATGCAATGTCACTCACACCGACACCACACCCAACAGACCAGACCATTAAATACCGAGCATGTGCAAACGAATGTGCCGAAATCTTTTTGCAGACGCTTCTGAACATCTTTGGCTTTGTTCCGAGCGAAAAGGGGAGTGACAAGTTCTTATCGACGCACGTAGAAGATGGTGAAGTGACGTGGTGGCTCTACGGGAACAACATTTTGTCGATAGAGAAAGGCGACGACACACACTTCTGTTTCTTAGTCATTCGAAATGCTGTTGGGAAGACTCGATGGGGGATTCAGTCGGTGTCGACGTTAGAAGAGCTTGGGATGACATCTCCGCAGAAGCGTGAGAAGATCACATTACATGACATTATTAAGGATCAACCGAAACAGTTAGTCGAAGAGCGTCGAGTTGAAGTAGTCCAGAACAAGTTACGTGAGATGATAGACTCTGCAGTGAGTAAAGAGAGTGATTTATTAGATTGGGGCCTTCCCAAAGGAGTTGACAAAGATTCCTATCAAAACGACATTACTTGTACGAAAGACGAGATAGAGAAGACCAATTCCAAAATCCAAGAGTTTGGGCAACATATAGTTTTGTTGAAAAATGAGGAAAAAAGTCTAGTTAGTGTAACTCCACCACAAATTGATACAACAAAACTATTAGTCCACGGATTACTTTGTCAGCTGCACTTTATTGATCCAATTCCAAAGAACCAGCCGGTGTTAGTCCCTATCAACCCACATGAAAAGTTCAAGATTTTACTTGGGAATTTGGACAAAACGTGTTCGCGACCTTTCCATAAAATTGGGTTGATTTATGTGATGAATAACCAAACTGATCAATACGACATCTTAAAAAACACTTCGGGGTCAGCGGCGTATAACGAATTTGTCGAAGGACTTGGATGGACGTTAGATATCCGAACCCATAGCGGGTTCCTCGGAGGATTAGACAAGACTTATATGTCCACTGGGGAGTATATCAGATACTTTGCAGACGCAACTAAAGAAGTGATCTTCCACGACATCACTTTGATCCCGACACAAGAAGACGACTCGCAACAATTGACTAAAAAGAGACATGTGGGGAATGACTATGTCCACATCGTTTGGAATGAGTCGGGAGAGTACTCCCCGTACACTATAACAAGTCAATTCAATGCAGCTCACATAGTCATTTCTCCTCTAGGAAATGGCCTGCACAAAATCAGAATTTGGCGTAAGCAGAACGTCAGACAGTTCGGTCCGTTATTGGACGGGATGGTCGTTGGAAAAGATTTGTTGCCCGCACTAGTCAGGGAGACTGCGGTGAACGCGAATTATTGTTGCTCACTTAATATATCGCCCGACGACTACTTGAAGCCTTATTTGCGAAGAAGCACTCTCATTAAGGAAATCATCGACAAGAACGACTCGTTTAACACGCCATCGTTCTTCTCGACTCTCTCGATGATTAGTAACCCAACTTGTGTGAATGACTTGACCACGAAAAAGTGAGCAAATACAGTAATTACTGCGTTATTTATAATTGTTGTTATTTAAAATGTTTTTTATAACATTTTTGTGGGTGACAAAATGTTATATAAGGTGGATTTCAAGGGGTGTAGGGTTTACTTTAAAGACACTTTTTTCATAGTAGAAATGGCTGATAATACGCCTATTGTGTTTGACAACACACTTGTTGTGCCGGACGACTTGAAGCACACTGAATTTATCAGCGATTTTTGTTTCAGCCCGACGAACGATATAGTTGGCCTTGGTGATATGAAGGGGCGGGTTTCATTATATAAATATGGGGATTTGACGGTGCCGGAAATGCTCTTTGAAATTGAAGGGAACAAGGACTCTGTCCGAAATGTGTGTTTTAATGAAGGAGGGAATTTACTCTTCTCGACGTCGAGCGACGGAGCGATTTCGATTGTAGATATCAACGCACAAAAGGTCTTGGCGACGAACCCTCGCGCGCACAAACATCCGATTTATGCGTTAGATTCCAAAGGGGATATGATAGTGACTGGAGATGAGGATGGGTGTATAAAGGTGTGGGATATGAGACAGCAAAAATGTGTAGCTGTGCATGACGAGCACAACGATTATATTTCACAAGTAGTGTTATGTGGGGACACGATATTTGCTGCTGGTGGCGATGGGTGTATGTCCACATGGAGTCTTAAGAAAGGGAAAGTGATTGGAATCAGTCAGAATTTGAATGAGAGTTTACTCTCGTTAACTGTACTTGAAGAGGATTATCGGATTTGTTGTGGAAGTGAACGTGGGAAAGTGTATGTGTGGAGTTGGGACGATTGGGAAGAGCCGAAATTGAAATTAAGTGGGCACCCCGATTGTGTCCAATCATTAATAACAATCGATCGAAACACCGTCTTTTCGGGGAGTTTTGACGGTGTGATCCGAATCGTTCAAATCACTCCAAATAAGTTATTGGGGTGTGTTGGGAAGCATGAATTTCCCGTCGAGAAGATGCAAGTGTCTCGAGACAAACGGTTCTTAGGGTCTTGTTCCCTTAAAAAGCATGTGAAGTTTTGGGACGTTGGCTATTTGTATGACGACGCCGATGAAAGTACGACGACGGTCCAAGTGAAGAAGCCCGAACAAGACATCGTGACGGACTATCAAGAAGTTTCGATGTCGAATGAATACAAAAAGAGAGGGAAAAAGAAGAAAGGAATGCAACAAAACCCCAACAACCCATTCTTCAAAGGAATGGAAGACTGATTGAAAGGATTTATTCGTTAAGTTCAATTAAACCAATTAATTAATCAATATTGAATTTCCTGAGTCATTCAATGAACACTTCTCAGACTCTAGTGGAGTGTTTTTGATCGATTGCGACTCTTTTAAAGATGAATTCCAATACTCTCGTAATTGCGCCAAAGTTGGTGGAACGGAGTCATAGAACTTCTCAAATCGACTTTTGAGTGTCGACTTCTTCCTTTCTCCGCCACTTAATGATAAAAATCGCTTGTTCTGATTGGTCCCTAATATGATACTAGTCGATGGCATGGAAGAAACGTCTTCACCTTGTGACATCGATAACATCGCCCGTCGTGATTTAAAGCCATATTGTGGCGTAGTTTTGTTTGTAGAAGGTCGAGTTGGCATGGGTTGCGCACTTCCTTTGTTATTTTGATGCTTTTGTGGCTCTTCCTTTTGACTTTGAAGTGTGTTACAATTATCGGTCTCTACTTTCTGAGTTTCAGTCCCGTTACCATCTAAACGGGACTGAAGTAACCCAGAACTGAGCTGTTCTGCATTTTCACGTGTTATATTTTCATTTTTCAGACTACTTTCTGTATCAGTTGTACTTGATGCGTCAGCAAGTTTGATGGATAAGTCCGTGTCCAAACTTTTTAACATGGAATCCAATTTTTCAAGCTCATCTTCTTTAGTCGGGATAGCCGGTTCATACTCTTCTTCATCTTCTTCTTGTGGGTCAAAAGCATATAACATCATCTTAGAGTATTCAGACTGCAGTTGTGAGAAAAATTCTCCAAGAGAATAGTCGAAGGCATTAAAGCAGAATGGTTGTTTAAAAACAGGGTTAAAGTACTCGTATAATTTGACGGTCATTCCTTCGTCTTTAATTAACATAGCACCCGCTTTGTTATTTCCATTGTACCCAGCTGACGAAAATACTGTGAACATGATTGGTATACGATCTTCACTTTCAAAGTCGTGTTGTTGGACACCATCAACACACTCATGGGCTCGGATGATTGCTCGCAAATCATTGTTCATTAAAAAGGACCGAACAGCATTGTACCCATAATAATAGGAACACTCTCGACTCTCATTTGGTAAGTAATTCACATCAAACCAATCGTCATTGATATCTCCATTCTCATACTTCTCATCATACACTTCATACTGTAACGGATCACTCCAGAGAAGATCACTGAAAGCACAATCTTCTGTTGGAACTTCAACAAATCTGTTAATTTGTTGCAATTGATCGATAAATTGAAGCGAAGAGAGATACCCCCATGACA